CAACCAACTGGCGCGTCGCAACTGCCTGTACCCCAAATATGAAATTGACAGTCAAAGACCTCTTGTGATAAGTTAGGCCCGCCTTCACTTACGGCCGGCACCACTGCTACCGGGGCCACTTAGGCCTGCCGAGGACCCAGATCCTCGCATTCCCTCCTCCGTTACTTCGTTAGTCCTCTGAGAAGTCTCTTAGTCTGCAGGCATCTTTCCTTTCAGTTCTCTTTCATAGCCTGCTATCACTTGAGGTGCTGTTCTCAGAAGTTCTTCTCGTGTAAACCAACGATCTTCCTTGGGATCCAGATGATGTTTGAAGCTCACACGATACTGCATTCTCGGTTTCGGAGGGCGCCCTCTGCCTGATGGTCGAGGAACAGGCATTACTCGATGCTCCACGATCTGGTCGATGTCCACCTCGCCATCCATGGTTGGGGGCAGCATGGATCTCCTTAAAGGAAACTGGTCAGTAGCAGTGAACGGTGCCAACTTAGAGGCATGGAACACAGGGTAAGTGCGTAAGTGGGCAGGAATACGAATCACGTATGAAGGCCCATCAGGTTGATCCCCTACAATGTCTAAGATCTCCCAGGGACCGAAGTTTTGTGGCATCAGTTTTCGTGATATCCCCATCTCCTGACCTAGTTCACCCAGACTCTATCACCTACCTGAAAGTCAGAGGGCCGTCTATGTTTATTCTCAGATGTGATCATAGCATCCTGAGACTTCCTAATATGTTCAACGGCCTGCTGCAACATCTGTTCATATTTGACAGCAAAGTCTATGCTGCCAGGTGCTGCAATGGGTTGTCTTTCTGGTAGCAGAAAGTCAAGTGCAGTTTTGGGCTTCCAACCAAGATGTAACTGGTTGGGAGTCATACCGGTAGTACTGTGCACAGCATTGTTGTACAGGCTGGCGACGAGAGGTAACTTCTCGTCCCAGTCATCCTGACTTGGCTTAATATAATGCCGAAGCAGGTGTTGTACTACCCGGTTCATCTGTTATGCCTGACCATTTGACTCAGGGTGATTCCCTGAGGTCATTTGGAGTTTTGTGCCCATCTGTTCAGCAGTCGATTGCCACAGTTCACTTGTGAATCTCATATCCCTATCACTGACGTTAGACGTAGGCAAACCGAAATCACGTACCCAATTATCCATAAACAGTTTGATGACGTAGTCAGTTTTAGCCGTTACTGGCATAGCGATCAATCTTGCATACTTGGTAAAGCGGTCCACTATTATGAAGATGTGCCTTTTGTCGGACTTACTGGTCACAAGAGTATCCATGAAGTCCATGGACACACTCTGACCAGGTCCTCAGGAATCGGCAAGGGCTTGATGAGCCCAAGTGGTGCCAGAGTCCTAGGTTTGTCCCTTTGGCAAACCTGGCAGGTTTCAACATACCTTTTCGCATCCTGCATAATAGTGGGCCACCAGAACTTTTGTACTAAGTTAGCTGAAGTCTTTTTGTAGCCAAAATGACCCGTCGCATCATGACATTCTCCTAAAAATAAACTACGCAAAGACTCACTACTAGGAACACACAATCTTTTATTCCCTGCCTTTTCAAGAAACAGCAAGCCGTTTACCATCGTAAATTCGTCCAAAGTCTTTTTGTCCTTTACTTGGAATCTACGAATGATCTCAGACATAACTAGATCTTGCTGATAGGCATCCACCAATGATCGAGTCAAGTTGCTAGATATGCCAAATTCAGTCACTAGGGCGCCCAGATAATCTGCCCGACGAGATAACGCGTCAGCCACCTTGTTGTACTCTCCCTTGATGGGATCAAGTTGATAGTCATACATGTCTATCACTTGAATCCACCGCTTGAGTGCGTCAGAGAGGACTGGTTGTGCCTTAATCCAACGCAAGGTCTCATGGTCAGATCTCACATAGAAGAATCTGCCAAGGATATAGTGTCTCCAATGTACCAGCGCTCTATATAGGGCATAGAGCTCACGCTCATAAGTGGACTTAGCTAGTTTTTGAGATGGCATCTTTTTGCTCATATACTCGATAGGTCTCAACTTAGGCCCCTCCTTTTGCGCAAGGACCGCGCCTATGCCATATTGGCTGGCGTCTGTGGTCACGACAAATGGCTTATCAGGATCCGAAAGTTTTAAGAACCTCATAGTGTGTCAGGGCATACTTCAGTTTCCTGAAGGTTGCCTCACACTCTTCAGTCCACTCCCAAGGGGTGTCCAGTCGAGTTAGATCCGTCAATGGGGAAGTTGTGGTACTATAGTTCTTCACAAACGGACGATAGTAGCCCGTCATCCCCAAAAACGATTTGACCTCAGTAACAGTCTGAGGTCTGGGCCAGTCACGTATGCTGGCCACCTTGGCATCATCTGGCCTCAGTCCATCTGCTGAGATTTCATGACCCAAGTACAAGATCTTGGTGCGACCAAACTCGCATTTCTCCAAGTTAACCTTGTACTGGTGCTGTCTTAGGAGACCTAGCACTAGTTTCAAGTGCTCAGCGTCCTCCTCTACAGTCCTACTAAAGATGAGAATATCGTCGAGGTACACGACGATAAACTTGTCTAAGTAGTCATGAAAAATCTTGTTCATCGTGTGCTGGAACGTACCAGGTGCATTGCATAGTCCAAAGGGCATCACCACAAACTCGTATAGACCGTACCTGGTCTGAAATGCGGTTTTGTGTTGATCCTCAGACCTAATGGCAATTTGATGGTATCCGGACTTCAGATTTATCTTGGTGAAGTACCGACATCCCTACACTCTATCCAAGAGGTCGTCGATGTGGGGTAGGGGCTCCGCGTTTTTAACAGTGATGGCATTGAGGCCCCTATAGTCAATGCACATCCTTAAGGTACCTCCCTTCTTCGGTACGAATAAGACTGGAGCGTCGTAAGGGGAGGTACTAGGCCGTATCCATCCCTTCTCTGTGAGCTCCTTGAGCTGGCGGCGGAGCTCATCTAACTCTACAGGAGACATCCTATAGATTCGTCCTCTAGGCACCTTACTACCCGGGACAACCTCTATTGCATGGACAACCTCCCTTTCTACCACGCCTGTGGGCTCCACAAAAAGGTCTGAATATTGAGCGACGACTGATTCTATCTCTGGGGGTGTTTTTACGGCCTCCCCTTTCTCAGAGACAAATACTAAGTGCATGCCCTCCTCGCGATTCTTCTTATAGTAGTTATAGAAAGATGATGCACACATGCACCCGTAGTTGTGGATCAACACCTTTCTATCCCAGTCAAACTGAGGTTCGCGACCTCGAGGTAGTACATGCCTAAGAGCATATCAAAGGGCAATTCGTTGCTAACCAGGAAGGAGGTCTTATGGCTCACTTCCCCTCCTCCATAGGAGAAGCTGCAGATTACGTCCTTGACATAGTCTTTTACCAACATTTGGTGCTTGTTGGCCAGCGTAGAAGCTACAGTTCTGCTAAGCCGCTGCACTTGGTCCCCTAAGCGCAGTCTATCCACACAAGCACGACTGATGAAGTTCCGTGAAGGTGCCAACCTTACGGCCACCTACATCAACCTCTACCACGAAATGTTCACCCTTTGGACCTCGACTGATCATCGCCCAAGAGTCCCTGGGGTCCTTCCCTGACCACTCAGTCTCTAACTCTTCTAGGGCCTCAGACACATCTCTCGAACAGAGCGTCGGTGGGTCTGAATGTATCTGCGGGGCGATACGTGGGTCACTAGCCTTGGCCAATGCTTGAAGTGGGGAAGGCAACGTTACCACTTCAGCGTGAGTAAGAGCGGCTAAAACTCCTACTGGCCCGAGGTGTTTCCCTGCGAAGTGCTCGCAGAAGCACCGCCAAAGTTCGAAGAAAGTCCCACCACCATTGGTGAGGCTACCCTCGTCGTGACCTTCCTGCCTCGACACGTTCTAGACGTGTGGCCAAAGTTGCCACAGTTCATGCATGTGCCCCTAGCAACTCGGTCCCTCCACACCTCATACTCTAAACCAAGTCTTACCCATGTGGGTGTTCCTTGGTCGCCCTGACCCGTGGACCGTACTACCTTCTTCTTCCCTGTCCCCCTAGCCTTTTCCTTCATAGGTGCCACGACTCCCCCATCCGAAGTCTCACTAGCCCCATCATGCTCTGTCTCCTCCCCAAAGTCTGGGAAACCGTCAATTTCTGTCGTCTGACCATCATGGTCGACGAACATTAGTTGACCTTTCTTTTTCCAGTCTTGGGGTAGTCTCTTCTTCCTACCATCGCCCTAACTCTGATGCGCCGACCCTAACTTAGCCTCTATGTCTAAGGCTTTCTTGCTGAAAGAGGCGAAGTTATGCTGATCGACATAAGCCTCATCTACCAGCTTTGTCCTCACCTCTGAAGGCAGACATCTAAGGTAATCCGTAAGAAGTACCTGCTGGTCATAGTGCACGCCAGGAACCACGAGTAGACGTTCTACGGTGTCCGTCAACTCTCTCACATTCTTGTACCTTCTGGTACAAAAACTGTTGATAGCATCGGTGACCTTTTGAGCCCCTTGCGGGTCATGCCACTTGTTGTAGACGGACCGTATGAACTGTTCCAATGTCTAGGCCTGGGCCCAGGCATCTAAATCCTGACCGTAGCCTTGCTGTTGCACTAGGCCATTCAACCAGCGGGCTGCTGACCCCTCTAGAAAGGAGGCAGCCACAACAACTTCTTGTTGTGGCCTGGTAAGTTTGTGCCTCACATAGGTAGGCACCGTCCTTACCCAGGTATCCAAGTCCTCAAGTCCTCAAGTCCTCATCCTTCTTCCTGTCGCCGAAGAAGGGCTTAGGACTCAGCAAGGGTATTTTGGGCATCCACTGCATCGGCTGCATAGGCTGCATGGGCCCAGGGGCTTGCTGGAGCGGCTGCATAGCCACTGAAACAGGCTGTTGCACACTAACCTGGGACTGTAGTGACCACTGTCGTGGATGGTGCGGTTGAGACTCTATGAACCGGACCACTAGTTGCTACCAAACCACCTGGAGGGGGCATGCGGGGCATGCCAAACATAGGTGAGAATGGAGGCCCTACCGGCGGCAGCGTCACTGATGGACCTGCGCCTGGAGGGGGAACTACAACATACTGTGCATGCCTCATCATGGGACGAGGAGCCCGTAGTGCAGCCAGAATCTCTTTCTGGCCTGCCATCAGTTCAACCAGCACTTCCTGCTGGACAGCCTGCATTTCCGCCACACAAAGAAGTGCGTTCCAAAGCGCTCGTATCGCAGGATCAAGCGTTGACTCATCTAATGCTTCCAGTCTTCCTAGCTCCTCTCTTCTACTACCTAGTCTAGCTTTTCTCAGGATTGCTCTCTTTCTCCTCTCTATTGCCTCATCCAATTGCCGTTGTAGCTCATCCTGAAGTTCTTCTGCTTGGAGGATCTCATAATCCTCCGGCGTGAGTTGAGTCTGCTGGCTGGCTCGCAAGCCAGCACTCTAGCTGATGGACCCCTGAGAACCACTCTGACTAACTCCTGACGAAGTGGACTGTGAAGAGGTTTGGAACATGGTAGATGAAGTAGCCATGGTTACACCGGTGCTAGCTGAAATTCTAGTCCTGGCACTATCCTCAGCTGCCCTCGCTCTCCTTGCCGCTGCTCTCTCTCTAGCCTCTCTCCGCAATCTCCTCTCGTCTCCTGGACCTAACTCTAGGAAAGTCAAAGGTCGACTGCGAGCAGTTCCACGAGTAGTCCTACGGTCATCCACCAACGACTCCTCCTCACTAGTGCTTGCATCACTCATGAGCTACAGTGTGTGTGATCTGGACTAGAATCCACACTAAATCCTACCTTAGCGTGACACACAACCGATTACGAATCACAACTAATGTCGGTCGGACTGAGCAGAGACAGTTAGGTGATGTAGTAACAACTAATGTCAGATCCTACAGGAAATATCATATTTATTTTTAGTTAACCCTAGAACAGATTGTTGTGCAGCAAAGATATAGTCTATCTGCAACTGTCTGTCAGTTGTTAGTCAAGTCTGTAACAACTAGATAATCAAAGATAAAAATAGTATCTCTTGTTGGAGATGTATGCTTGATGGCAGATTGTCTATTTATTGCCACTGCGAACAGTTACCGGAGTCCCCCCTCCCCCTGTATCCTTCTTGATTGGTCACTTTGTGTCAACGTCCTGAGCATCTAGTTGAGCAGCGTGTCTGAAGGTGTGCAATCTGGCCCACCCCTGTGCCCCAAGTCAACGCCGAACCTGCCAGCCCCTGCACATTATTTACCCTCTCATGCAACGAGCCTTACACCCGGTTTGATCTGGCTGATCAGGAGGCATTTAAGGAGATCCCCCGTAACTCCTCAGAAATTATTTAACGTCGCAGATAGGACGGCGATCACAGCTAGAGTCAACATCGAGTCCCCGCCAGAAATATTTAAAGACGGTCTGGTAAGCGTCTGTCAAAGGGCTGGCATGCCCTACATGACCTCTATTGCGCAAGCAGCAGAACCAAGGACTTGCGGCAAAGCATGCGTGCCCTTCAGAGGCTTCGCCCGTCTCCCACCAGCTTGCTGCCCAGGAAGAATGTTGACTCTCAAGGTTGAGCGCTCGCGACACCTCACATCGAGAGGACTCTCAAGACAGAACTCACTTCCTCACAGTAAGAAGTAACGAAGAGGGTAGATAAGGAAGAGAGCAACGTACCTCATAATGCTGCCCCCAACCACAGATTTCTCACCGGCAACCTGATGTGCAATTATGATGACCGGTCTTTGCCTCGACACAACCAATCAGCAGAATGTGGTTCCACCTCGGCTTAATTTGCCACATCAGCGAGCTCTCATCATCCAGCATACACCCCGTATGTCACCACATAGCTCCCTCGCGCGCCCACACAACCCTGGGCCGCCCTTCGTTCAACGCCCAAGCCTTATCACTGCCCCACACCTCATGCGAAGCACCAAACAGCTATTGCGAAGAACCAATGAAGCGCAATATGAACCAGCTCCGATTCCAAATTGCAAGGAAAATAAGCAACAGCGAGATGACAAATTCCAGATTACATCATCACATTGAAAGCCAGATAGTCACACTGTGTCCAGAGAGCAGCATTGCAC